CTCTCTTCGGAGGCCTCTTGGAAGGCTCTTGGGGCGTCTTGGAGGCCTCTTGGGCTGTCTTGGGGGCCTTTTGGGCCGTCTTGGGGTCATCTTCGGCGTCTTCGAGCGCTCTTTGGGCGTCTCGGGGGCCTCTTGGGCAGTCTTGGGGGCCTCTTGGGGCACTCTGAGCGCGCTCTGGGGAGCCTGAGAGGCCGCACCCAGAAGGAAAACCATCTCTGAGTAGACTTGGTCGGGCGGCGGTCGGGCGGCGACCGGGCGTTGGTCGGGGTACTTTTCGCCGGGGGACCCCCAGGGGCCGCCCCGCGCGCGCGAACTAGAAATACTGTTATACTGTTAATACTGTTAACCAGTTACCGGAGATCTTAGCACGCCCTGGCCCGTTGGGCCGGCGAATTATCATTATCATCATCAGTTGCCTGTGTGTCGTCTCGGGCGGGAGCCTCGTCTGTGAATGAATTGAAAGGAAGTCTCAGGCGGGAGCCCCCTAGCTCATTTTGGTAATCCGAGCGGGCCATCGGAACCCTGTAACTGTCGACACTTTTGGGCTCCTGGGGCTTGGATATGGAAGAAGTATCAGGCGGGGAGCCTCGTCTGTGAGTGAATTGCGAGGAAGTCTCAGGCGGGAGCCCCCTCCCTGTGGGGCCCGCAGCTCATGTTCAAAATCCGAGGTGGGCCATCGGAAACATGTAAGTGTCGTCACTTCTGGGCCCCTGCGGCCTGAATATGGAGGAAATTTCAGGCGGGAGCATCGTCTACACGCCGGTCGTTGAAAGTAGGCATTTTTGGATCCCCAGATCCCAATCTACTTCAAGCGCCTTCCTACTTCAAGAATCGATATGATTTTGCTGTGTTTTGTTGTTCTCTGGGAGGACCTGGACCCAATCTACTATATCCGCCTTCCTACTTCATGTTTCTACCTACTTCTTCCGACCGACGTGTAGTGAGTTGCGAGGAAGTCTCAGGCGGGAGCCTCCGCAACTGTCGTCATGTTTAGGCCCCGGAGGCTTGAATAAAAGGAAAGTATCAGGCGGGAGCCTCGCCTGTTAGTGAATTGCAAGGAAATCTCAGGCGGGAGCCTCCGCCCTATGGGGTCACCCTCAAACTTGTAACTGTCGTCCCCTTGAGGCTTGAATCCGGACGAAATATCAGGCAGGAGCCTCCTCTGCTAGTGAATTGCGAGGAAGTCTCAGGCGGGAGCCCCCTCCCTATGGGGCCCGCAGCTCATGTTCAAAATCCGAGGCGGGTCATCGGAACTTTGTAATTGTCGTCACTTTTGGGCTACTGGGGCCTGGGTATAGCCTGAGTATGGAGTACTTTGGCCTCGGACATCCACGGTGTCCTGGACACTCGGCACCAGCACGAGAACTTTCGGCTTGGTTACGGCATGGGCATCTATTGGGAGATGCTGGCGAGGTGGATCAACACGCGTTCGTCGCGACGCACGGCGTCTGGGCGTGCCCCTCGTTTTCCTGCAGGCCGTGGACGAGTGCAACGCGATTCGCGGCGATTCCGACGCGGGTTGGCGCCTCCTGAATGTCCCGAACATACACGAGACGGGGGACAGCCACGGCGTCTCACTGGCCCACGTCGGCATGGAGGTGCGATTCACCGCACTGCAGGAAAAGCTGCAGAAGAGAGGGGGGCTCGTGCAGGAGCAACAAGCCACCGTCGTGTAGGAGCAACGGGCCACCGTTGTGTCCTTCGAGTTCCACCCCGAAGACGAGCAGCGGTGCGAGGGGCGCTCGCCAGGCCAGCTCTTTCGCCCCCGCTTCCAATCGTAGGGGAGCTGGCTGCAGGTGCACGGCTTCAATGAGTCTCCGAAGTACCAGGAGGTTGCCGAGCTGCTGCGACGCAGCGCCGAAGGCGCCGACGACGACGGCCAGGCCGATGCGCGTGCGCGGAACCTACTGATGTTTAGGCCCAGCGAACGGGAGCTCGCGTGGCAAAGCTCGGGGCCGCGCGCCGTGCGCCACTCGGGGTTCACCGTGGCGCGCGCGTCCTACCTCACCTCCGCGCTGTCGCAGGGCCAGACGCTGCGCAAGGGCGTCGCCATCGCCCGCGCGAGGGATGAGGACGCTGGCCGCGCGGGCATGTTGGGCGACCAATGGTGGCTGCAACTCTACGTCATGCCTTCCCGCGCCGCGTGCGTGCGGAACGTGCTGATCCAGCGGCCGCCGCCGCGAGAGTTCCTGGAGCGAGGGCCGCCGGCATCCTCGCGGAAGGCGCTCCTGGAGTTCGACGTCAGAGCGGAGAGCTCCAGGGCAGAGGCAGAGCAGCTCGCGGCACGGCTGGCCTTCGTGCTGCTCCCCGCCTGAGCGCGGCGGCGCCCCGTTCGAAGCCCGCGGGGTTGCCCCGACGGTGTGGTCTCGCGCGCCAGCGGCTCGCGGGGTAGTCACGGCCTGGCCCGCGGGCTTGTTCCGATGGCTGCGGCGCAACGTTACAATCGGAGACTGCGTCCGTGCTGGCCGAGGCAGCGACGGCGCCGAGGAAAATCGACATGCGCGCTCATGCAGTGGAAAGGGAAGGAGGTGGCGGGGGATGAAAAAGCAAAGAGGCGAGGAGAGGACAACGTAGGGAGCGGGAGGAGAGCCTGCGCCAGGGCGAGGATGATGATGACGCAGGGGAGACCGTAAAGACGCTTCGGGTTATTTCCAGACTGGCCGAGAGGATTCTCATGTGGGGTCCCACCGGAGTAATTGTATTCTCTAGTCCACACGCCAGCTCCGTAAGCTATAGGTCGACGCTCGCGCGGCGCAAATCCGACGTAATTCCGACGCAGTCCGACGTGAACCCGACGTAAATCCGACGTGGATCCGACGTAAATCGGGTCTCAAGTTGCCGCGCGAGGCCTCCAGGATGCTCCTCATGAGGTCCAGAGCTCCGGGGGGTTCACGTTATGAAGGCATCGTGCCGTCGGGGGCGTGCACACGCGCCGTGCGCCGGGGTCCAGCCCGGCCCTGGTTGGGCACTGCGGTGCTGTGCAGGGGCCCCCTGCGAGCGGCATGGCACACTGGCCCGAATTCGAACGGCATGAGATCCGAAATTCGCGCCCATCGCCGCATCAGAAGCATCGGCGGGGTGCCCGTAATATATAATCGCGGCCTCGGACATCCGATGGATGGCTCTCTTCAGCCGCGGACTTCGGCGGTCGCTGCCCAATCTTCGGGGCCCTTGTTGTTGTGTTGTTGTTGTTGTCGTTGTTGTTGTTACTGCTGCTGTTGATGTCGTTGTCGTTGTCGTTGTCGTTATCATTGTCGTTGTCGTTGTCGTTGTCGTTGTTGTTGTGGTTGTTGTTGTGTTCTGTTGTTGTTGAAGATTGTTGTTGTTGTTGTTGTTGGTGTAGTAGTAGTAGTAGTAGTAGTAGTAGTAGTAGTAGTAGTAGTAGTAGTAGTAGTAGTAGTACTAATAGTAGTGGTAGTAGTAGTAGTAGTAGTAGTAGTAGTAGTAGTAGTAGTAGTAGTAGTAGTAGTAGTAGTAGTAGTAGTAGGAGTAGGAGTAGGAGTAGGAGGAGTAGACGTAGTAGTAGTAGTAGTGTAGTAGTAGTAGTTAGTAGTAGTGTGAGTAGTTAGTAGTGTATAGTGGTAGTAGTAGTAGTAGTACTAGTACTCGTAGTAGTAGTAGTTGTAGTAGTAGTAGTAGTAGTAGTAGTAGTAGTTAGTAGTAGTAGTAGTTAGTAGTAGTAGTGTGGTAGTTAGGGTAAGTAGTAGTAGTAGTAGTGTAGCAGTAGTAAAGTAGTAGTAGGAGTAGTGAGTAGTAGTAGTAGTAGTCGTAGTCGTAGTAGTCGTCGGTCGTCGTGTAGTAGTGTAGTAGTAGTAGTAGTGTTGTAGCAGAAGCAAGCAGTAGTTAATTAGTAGTATGTTGTAGTAGTAGTAGTAGTTAGTAGGTAGTAGTAGTGTAGTAGTAGTAGTAGTAGTAGTATTCGTAGTAGTAGGTAGTTAGTAGTTGTAGTCGTTCGTAGGTAGTCGTAGTAGTCGTAGTAGTAGTAGTAGTAGTCGCGTCGTCGTCGTCGTCGTAGTAGCCGTCGTTTAGTAGTAGTAGTAGTAGTAGTAGTAGTAGTCTCAGTTGTAGTTTTTGTTGTTGTTGTTGTTGTTGTTGTTGTTGTTGTTGTTGTTGTTGTTGTCGCAACTGCTGTTGTTGTTTGGTTACCGTAGACTTGACAGCGCTCGGATTGGAAAAGCTCGGACGGGGCTAGGACGACGATCAATCCGTTCCAGCGCGTTCTGGAGCGCTCTCAGAGCGTTCTGGGAAGGCCGCAGCGCCCGAGACATCCTCCAGAGCCGCGGGACCTCAGAGACTCTTTCGACTTATCCTCGCTCGAGTTTGTCCTCGTCCTGGCCTCTTCTTGCAACTCCCGCGTTGGAAAATCAATCCGCCGCGGCGCCCGCGACATCCTCCAGAGCCGCCGGACCTCATAGGTTCTTTCGATTTATCCTCGCCCGAGCTTGTCCTTGTCCTGGCCTCGTCTTGCAACGCCCGCCTTGGAAAGTCACTCCGCCGGGCGTCTGGGTCCGTCTGCCGGTCGCCGCCGAGCTCCTCTCCCGGATGCGGGCTGTAGCACGGGAGCGTCGTCGGCGACGGGCAGTGGCCTCGAGTGTGTACCATACCTCGAGGCCCGCCTCCCACCACTCCTCTCTCCGTCTCCATCTCTCCCTCCCTCGCTATGCAAATGTGCATCCTTCTCCCCCCTCCCACTCCCTCTTCCTCTTTCTCTTCCTCTCCCTCTCTTCCCCGTCCCCCTCCCTTTCCCCCTCCCCTTTCCCTCACTCTCTCCCTCGCTCTCCCACTCTCCCACTCTCTCTCACTCTCGCCTTGTCTCTCTCCCTCTCCCTCTCCCTCTCCTTCTCCCTCTCCTTCTCCCTCTCCCGGTGTCTCTCTCTCTCTATCCCTCTGTCTGCTGGCACCATGTATGCGGGCGGGGCCTTTTATCTTCAGCCTGAGGTGTGTTCGAGTCGGACGCACTCTTGGTAGCCCGCCTCCCTCTCCCTCTTCCTCCCCCTCTCCTCCGCAGCAGACATGTATATACACCATGACAGTGCCTGACCAGGGCCATCCTGGTCCCCACGATGGTGTACGGACCCTCCTAGCCTCGGCCAGGAGGGCGTTTTTACCAAGCCAGGGTCCAGGATGGCCCTGGCCCTGGCCAGGCACGGTGGTGATATATACATGTCTTTCGAGTATTTCTTTCTTTCCCTCCCCCGCGTTCCATTCAGTGTTTTCTCTCTTGTGTCCCTTTCCCTGCTTCGCCCTTTTCGCCCTCTGATTTCGAGTGCACCGCCTGGATACGTCCACATCCACAGCTTCTGGAGCCCCCACCCCGAGTTCCCAGGGTGGGGGGAGGGCGGTGGACATGTGCACATGGACACGCCCGCGCCCAGGGGAGCTAGTAATGATATCCAACGCCCACTGCTCCGAGTCGGGACTTTCTGCATTTTTACCGCCTGGTGTCCCGGGACCCTGTGGGCCAATGAATATGTCGACTACACGTAAGAGTGACCCTTCGCCGGAGTGACCTTTGGTGCGGGACCACTGGGGTCCCCGATCGCCGAACGCGAGGCGGCAGTGGCGTCTTGCGCGCTTGTGTGTTGGCCCCCGCGCGGCCCCCCGAAAAGCCGCGCACCATAGGTGACTCTTGCCCAGGGTCAATCTTACGCGTAGCCGAATATGGACTTGCTTAGGCTCCATGGGGCCTGACTATCATACCCCCACAGCGCCGCCCGAACAGCCTAAAACTGTGCGTGCGTCGCCCCCGAAGGGGCGACGTGCGCGCCGACACATAGTGTGCGCCCCCTTGGCGTGTGCGTTCGGGCCGCACCGCTCGGGCATATGCCACAAGAGGAGGCAGAGGAGGAGGAGGAGGAGGAGGAGGAGGAGGAGGAGGAGGAGGAGGAGGAGGAGGAGGTTCTGCCTCGGGGTTGTTCCTGTTCGCAAGCAGGCTAGGGAGTTCGGCTAGGCTGGATTCTTCTTTCTGAGGATCTGAGGATCGAGACGAGGAGAAGGAGGAGAGGACGACGAAGAGAAGAGGAGGAGCAGGAGGAGGAGGAGGATGAGAGGAGGAGGAGGAGGAAGGAGCAGGAGGAGGAGGAGGAGGAGGAGGAAGAGTAGGTAGGAGGGGAGGGAGGGAGGGAGGCAGGGAGGGAGGGAGGGAAGGAAGGCCTGGTGGCGCGACCCCTGGGCGATGGATGTGGACGTGCAGGTCGTTCGTTGAACTCGTTGCCCATCCGCCACCGCGCCCGGGTCGCGGACAAGAGTCGAAGCAGAACAAATCGCAATGCACATAATTTTTTGGCGCTCCGCGCGGATTTCTTGGCCCTGCGCTGGGACCCCCCTGGCTGCGCCCCTGGCGCGCTCCCCCCGCCAGGGAGGGGGGGGTCCAGCGCGGATCCAAGAAATCCGCGCGGAGTGCCAACATTTTTTTGTTTTTCCCCACATGTTTCGTGGGGTTCTGGTTTTCTTCCCTGCCGCGCCGCACCCGCGTCTCACACCTCCCCCCTCCCCTTCTCCTTCTCGCACAGCACAGCACAGCACAGCACAGCACTGCTCAGCATAGCTCAGCACAGCTCAGCTCAGCTCAGCTCAGCTCAGCACAGCTCAGCTCAGCTCAGCACAGCACAGCACAGCACAGCACTGCTCAGCATAGCTCAGCACTGCTCAGCTCAGCTCAGCTCAGCACAGCACAGCTCAGCACAGCACAGCACAGCACAGTACAGCACAGCACAGCACAGCACTGCTCAGCACAGCTCAGCACAGCTCAGCTCAGCTCAGCACAGCACAGCTCAGCTCGGTCGTCCAGGCCGTAGCAGGCGTGGCACTTTCTCGATACCATAGGGGGTGCGCAGGGGGTGGTCCCCCCTATCCGCGCCGGTCGTCCAGGCCGTAGCAGGCGTGGCAGCTTCTCGACGCCATATTGGGTGCGCACGGGGTGGTCCCCCTATCCGCGCCGGTCGTCCAGGCCGCAGCAGGCGTGGCAGTTTCTCGACACCATAGGGGGTGCGCACGGGGTGGTCCCCCTATCCGCGCCGGTCTTCCAGGCCGTAGCAGGCGTGGCAGTTTCTCGACACCATAGGGGGTGCGCAGGGGGTGGTCCCCCTATCCGCGCCGGTCGTCCAGGCCGTAGCAGGCGTGGCACTTTCTCGACACCATAGGGGGTGCGCAGGGGGTGGTCCCCCTTTCCGCGCCGGTCGTCCAGGCCGTAGCAGGCGTGGCAGTTTCTCGACGCCATAGTGGGTGCGCACGGGGTGGTCCCCCTATCCGCGCCGGTCGTCCAGGCCGTAGCAGGCGTGGCAGTTTCTCGACACCATAGGGGGTGCGCAGGGGGTGGTCCCCCTATCCGCGCCGGTCGTTAAGGCCGTAGCAGGCGTGGCAGTTTCTCGACACCATAGGGGGTGCGCAGGGGGTGGTCCCCCTATCCGCGCCGGTCGTCCAGGCCGTAGCAGGCGTGGCAGTTTCTCGACGCCGTAGTGGGTGCGCACGGGGTGGCCCCCCTATCCGCGCCGGTCGTCCAGGCCGTAGCAGGCGTGGCAGTTTCTCGACACCATAGGGGGTGCGCAGGGGGTGGTCCCCCTATCCGCGCCGGTCGTCCAGGCCGTAGCAGGCGTGGCAGTTTCTCGACACCATAGGGGGTGCGCACGGCGGGTGGCTCCCACCGTATCCGCGCCGGTCGTCCAGGCCGTAGCAGCGCGTGGCAGTTTCTCGACACCATAGGGGGTGCGCAGGGGGGTGGCAGGGGGTGGTCCCCCTATCCGCGCCGGTCGTCCAGGCCGTAGCAGGCGTGGCACTTTCTCGACACATAGGGGGTGCGCAGGGGGTGGTCCCCCTTTCCGCGCCGGTCGTCCAGGCCGTAGCAGGCGTGGCAGTTTCTCGACGCCATAGTGGGTACGCACGGGGTGGTCCCCCTATCCGCGCGGTCGTCCAGGCCGTAGCAGGCGTGGCAGTTTCTCGACACCATAGGGGGTGCGCAGGGGGTGGTCCCCCTATCCGCGCCGGTCGTCCAGGCCGTAGCAGGCGTGGCAGTTTCTCGACACCATAGGGGGTGCGCAGGGGGTGGTCCCCCTTTCCGCGCCGGTCGTCCAGGCCGTAGCAGGCGTGGCAGTTTCTCGACGCCATAGTGGGTGCGCAGGGGTGGCCCCCCTATCCGCGCCGGTCGTCCAGGCCGTAGCAGGCGTGGCAGTTTCTCGACACCATAGGGGGTGCGCAGGGGGTGGTCCCCCTATCCGCGCCGGTCGTCCAGGCCGTAGCAGGCGTGGCAGTTTCTCGACACCATAGGGGGTGCGCACGGGGTGGTCCCCCTATCCGCGCCGGTCGTCCAGGCCGTAGCAGGCGTGGAAGTTTCTCGACACCATAGGGGGTGCGCAGGGGGTGGTCCCCCTATCCGCGCCGGTCGTCCAGGGCAGAGCAGGCGTGGCACTTTCTCGACACTTAGGGGGTGCGCAGGGGGTGGTCCCCGAGCGCGGCCGCTATCCGAGACGAGACGGTCGTCCAGGGCATAGCAGGCGTGGCACTTTCTCGACACCATAGGGGGTGCGCAGGGGGTGGTCCCTGAGCGCGGCCGCTATCCGAGACGGTCGTCCAGGGCATAGCAGGCGTGGCACTTTCTCGACACCATAGGGGGTGCGCAGGGGGTGGTCCCTGAGCGCGGCCGCTATCCGAGACGGTCGTCCAGGGCATAGTAGGCGTGGCACTTTCTCGATTCCATAGGGGGTGCGCAGGGGGTGGTCCCCGAGCGCGGCCGCTATTCGAGACGGTCGTCCAGGGCATAGCAGGTGTGGCACTTTCTCGACACCATAGGGGGTGCGCAGGGGTTGGTCCCTCACCGCGGCCGCTATGCACGACGGTCGTCCAGGGCATAGCAGGTGTGGCACTTTCTCGACACCATAGGGGGTGCGCAGGGGGTGGTCCCTCACCGCGGCCGCTATGCACGACGGTCGTCCAGGGCATAGCAGGCGTGGCACTTTCTGGACAAAATAGGGGGTGCGCAGGGGGTGGCAACGGCCACCAACATCATTCTTACATGCTTCACTTCAGCTATCATCACTCCAGCCATAATATAAGTATGTGGGGTTCCTCGGCAGCGTAATTTCTTCTTCTGAATAGGGCCTTTGGGATGCCTCCCGGGGGCTCTTCGAGGGGGTGGGCAAACATAGGTCTCCTGGATGCCTCCTTTTGGGGGCCTCCTGGGGGCCTCTCGGGGCCCTCCAGGGGTCCTTATTTGGGGGCCTCTTTCCCAGAGCCTCGCGGCTCGGCGGCGGACTCTCAGATTCCCAGGCTCTGCGACCCATCTGCAACGCCCTCCGGTCGGGGAAACGTAGGGCTCGAGTACGCCGGAGCTCGGGTCTGCCGAGGCCTCTCGACGAGCGCGTCCTGGATTCTGACGGTCCAGCTCTCGTGGGACGTGTGCAACTGGGTCGCACTGTTCCCATGATGGCACCGTCAGGCCAACCCGAGCCCCCGATCCCGAGGCTTACGTTTCCCCGAGAGGATGGCGCTGCAGATCGGTCGGCGCCCGGGAGCCCAACGATCCGCCGCCGAGCCGCGAGGCTCTGGGCGGGAGGCCCCCAAGAGGACGCCTGGCGGGCCCCGAGAGGCTGCCGAGAGGCCCCCCAAACGGAGGCATCCAGGAGGCCCCGCCATGCTGGCGCCGTCGGACCAACCCGAGCTCCCCGAGCCCGAGCGCTCCTTGCGCCTCCCCTCGGAGGGCACCAACTATACACCAACACCGATCCTGGCCCAGGAGCACCCTGGGCCCAGGATCGGTGCATATGCCTTCTTGCGCAGGGCAGGAGGGCGTAGACACCGATCCTGGGCCAGGATCGGTGTTGGTGTATAGTGGGGGCCTTCCTATCCCCGACCCCGCCTCGAGAGCGGGCGGCCTTCGGCTGTGCGCCGCCCGCCGCCCGGGCGGGCCGGGGCTCGACCTCGGCCCCGGCCTCGGGAGCCTCGGGGCGGGGGTCGCTGCCACCGGGCGCCAGCCAGAGCGCCGGATCTCGCAGGATCCTGCGGAGCC